AGATGTCTGTTATATCCATTTGATCTACATGAAGGTTATATATCATTGAATGACATATCTGTTGGTAAGAGTAGGATATTAAAGTCAACCACTATTACTGTGTTAGGTATACCTGTTTTTAAGTCTAGTAGTGTTTGTTTTATAAAATTGAGTGCTCTGACGTTTAGTGCATATATGATTATGATTGTTACCTCTTCTAGGCTGGATGATTCTCTTTATTCATATGAAGTGACCTTCTTTTTCTTTTCTGGCTAATTTTAGTTTGAAGTCTAGCTTTTCTGATATGAGTACAGATACTCCTGCTTGTTTTCAGACACCATTGATTTGGAAAATCTTTCCCCATCTTTTTACTTTAAGCCTGTTTATCTTTGCCACTGAGGTGTAGTTCTTAGAAGTAAAATATAGTCAGGTTTTGTTTCTTAATCCAGTCTGCCAGTCCTTGTTATTTGGAGAACTGAGACCATGAACATTGAAGAGTTATAATTGAAAGGTATGTAGAAATTCCTGCCATTTTATTGACTGTAATTATACAGTCTTCACTCCTCATTTGCCTATCTACTTGTCTAGTGAGATTTATTCCTTCCTATATTTTCATAGTTGCATTTATCTTCCCCTTCTGTATATAGTGTTCCTTTAAATATCTTTGGCAGAACTGGTTTAGTTTTTCTTTATCATGGAAATTTTTTATTTCTCCTTTAATTACGAAGGATATCTTTGCTGAGTACAGTAGTCTTCTTTTTTGGCCTGAAATACATTATTCCATGCCTTCCTTATTTTCAAAGTTTATGTTGAGAAGTCTGCTGTTATTCATATGAGTGTGTCTTTACAGGTGACTTGACACTTCTCTCTTAAAGCTTTTCATATTCTTTCTTTGATCATTATGCCTAATGTTCTAACTATAATATGATGTGATATTATATAACTATAATATGATATAATATAATTCATATTTCTGGTTTTTGTCTATTTGAAGTCTTAAATTCTTCCTATATCTTGATGATTATCTCAAGATTTGGGATATTTCTGCTATTATTTTATTCAATATATTTTCTCTACCTTTAGCTGAAACCTCTACTCCTTCTTCCATGCCCATTATTTTTTTTAATGGTATCCCAGAGGTCTTGCATGTTTCACTCATACTTCTTAATTTTTTCCTCCATGTTCATCTGCATGTTCTAATATATCTACCTTATCCTCAAGCACTGATAGTCTGTCTTCAATTTGACCCAGTCTACTTGAGAGACTTTCAATTGAGTTTTTTATTTGACTTATTGAGCAATTCATTTCCAGAATTTTAATTTAATTTTTTTCAGAATTTCTATCTTTATTAAAATTATTTTTCATGTCCCACATTGTCTTCTATATTTCATTCAAATCTTTCTTTGAGTTTTCTTTGAATTCATTCAGACATTTGCTTGTGTCCTCTTTAATTTCATTGATCATTCTTATAATAATTTTTTAAAAAATGGTTTGTTTGGGAATTCTTCCTCTTCATTATCATTACTGTGTATTACTGTGGCATTGCTGTGTTGGAGGAGTCATGTTGCCTTGTTTCCTTCATATTTCTTGTGTTTCTGCATTAGGATTTGTACATCAAAGGCCAAGTCATTGGTTCAAACATTTAATTTCCTGTAGTCTTTCCATTAAAATATTGTCAATGTTTATGCAAGACAGTGTAGTGACTATGTTAAGGTGCTATTTCTTACCACTGAAGTTGGGGTATGTCTCAGTAGCCAAACACTTGCTCACATGCTTAGGGCCCTGTGTCCCTCACATACAGGAAAACTAGCTGGTTTGATCTGTAAAAGGGTCAAATCTGGTGCTTTTAATATAGAAGCTTCCCTTCATTGTATACTGGGATCCACTTCTGGCCACAGTGAGGTTTATAGCCTGTGGTCCAGGCAGATTTCCTACTTGTTCTACAACCCCCCCAGTTTGTGTCACCAGAGGTAGTAAGTATCCAAGCCTAGAAACAAACCTTAAATGTATCAGAGTGGGGAAGCAAACAGAGCACTTAGTTCTGCACCAGATGAAAGAGAAATGGGGGACTTAGGAGCTCTGTTCGCTGGTCTCAGTGCTTACAGACCCCATCCAGAAGTTCATCTCCCAAAAGGGAGAAAGAGTTTGTGGAAGTCTTGTGATTCAGAGAGTCTGGACATGGAGCACTGAGTCCTACCTGACAGCTAATACATGTCATGATACAGTTCCTAGAGGTGGGTCTGTTCACTTACAGAAGTTCACCTCCTTGTGTAGAGGAGGAGGCTGTGAAAGTTTTATGATTCAGGTGTTCTGGACTTGAAGGTCTTCAGACCCACCTGGCAGTAAACACAGTCCTGGATATAGTTCTTGGAGCCAGGTCTTTGTGCTTTCAGACCCTTCCCAGCAATTTACCTCCATGGTGGGAGAGAGGGAGAGAGGAGATTGTGGATATCACATGATTTGGAGTGTCTGACTCAAGACCCTCCAAGCCACCTAGCAGTCAACAGTGCTGGAAGCAAATAATATGTCAGCCACAAACTTGGTAGTTTATTTTTGCTGTGACCCTCAGATGATGGAACGTGTTCCTCACCAGGCAGAGAGGGCAAGGCCTGTGACCATCATATCTTTCACTGCTGGAGCTCCCTATTGCTTGAACTTCTGCAGGATCATGTTAAACCTTCTCCCTCTACATGACCACCTCTAATGTCTATTGCCCACCTAGACTTGTGACACTGTGTCATATTCCCTGTGCTTATTTTCAAGTTCCCAGGGAAATGCCTCTGTCAAGATGGCATCTTGATACATCTTTCAGAGATGAGAGGAGCAACAGAATATCTTTCTTCTCTTTCCATACCAGAGCACCAACTACCTTATTAAATCTCTGCACTGGGCTTAATGGTTGGGGGGAGTGTAGGCTTATTTTATAGCTTGAATTGCCAGTCTGTTGCCAAGGCCATCTGGCTTATCTTGTGATTGTGCCATCAGCTTATTCTCCCCTTCCTAGGGAGATGGGGATGGGATTTGGAAATTTTGATGCTTTACTCTGTTGTCTCAGTTTCTCCTTGCTTTTCTGATACCTCTTTTGTGATTCCTGATGTTCTTCCTCTCTTTCTCTCTTGTTTTACCCAATTCTTCTTCTTTATGAAGTCAAAACAGTGGATGCTTCTAATCTGCCATCTTGCCCTACCTCCCTGCTGTTGGGTTTGCAACTTTTGAAATTCTGACTGCTGAGGTCTTTTTTTCCAGGAATAAATTACTCCTACAAGGTGATGATGAATAGATTTTTCAAGTTACCTCATTTCTTCCCCTACATTATTAGAAGCAGCTAATTTATTCTACTTTGTTCTCATATAGAAATATGACATACATCCCAAGAGTCCCCAAAAGCAATTGTGCCCCTAAAATACTATAAACTATGACCAGCCACATAGTTTAGATGCATCTCCAAATCATAAAGAGCAGGATAGTGTCACTAAAGATGGAAAAAGACAGGTTTAAGTAAGCAAGCAACCTGCTTTAAGTAAGAATGGCAACTAACCAAGAAAGATTACCATTGTTGCACCAAGAAAGTTAAATTCTATCCAGATGGTTCTCTTCTGATTCTCATATTAACCCATGGAGACAAGTATTATTCCCACTTACACAGGAGGAAATGGAGACAGAGAACAGTGAAGCAGATTGCCTGGGGCTATTTGATGACTAACAAAGTTCAGGAGTACAAATTCAGCTTTTTTTAAAAAATGCGTTTTTGAGTCAATGATGGTCAGGGTTATTCTGATGTTATTGTCCTCAAAGTCATGCCTGGGGAACCTATGTCCAAAGCCAAGAATTTACTAACTAAACCGTAGTCATGACAAATGCAATATTAGAAATGATAATATTTGATGTACTGGCTTAAGGAGAAATAAGTATTCTACATTTTATTCATAGGATGGAGAGTTTGACCACTGACAAGGATGTGATTATACATTAGGAATAAGAAGCTTCTCAAAAGCATCCAGTGTGGGGAGAAAATGTACATTTATTTCTCAAATAAAAAGTGATGCTGTAACATTTTCTTTTTACTTACTCAATCAATGTTCCTAAAACACAAAGTGACAGGCACTGGAAAAGGCACTAGAAATGAACAAAGTTCTATGAAACTATAGTGAAAAAATAATGATTCACCTCAAAGGCTGCTGAAGGGAGGCCTTAATAAAATGAAGAACATAATTTTGCAGTTTGGAAACTAGGAGCTAGAGCATTTAAGTAAGGGGAAGGTGTGACCTAAGGGTCGGAAGATGACAGCAGGCATGAGGATGGTGCATGATTTATTCTGTTGGTATTGGATTCAAATGTCAGTGATTCTGGGGAGGAGGGAGGGAAAATGGTTTGGAGGTGGCAATGATGAGAGAGGAAGATACCTACCTCACTTGCAGACCTAGGAGTAGGTTGGGTGTGAGAGAGAAAGCAAGGACCATTAACCTGCAGAAAGCCAGAGTCTGAAGTAGAAAAGAAAGGCAAAGGAAAAGCCCAAGGAAGAGGCTATAGATGCAGTGGATTTGGTTGATGACTTTGACCTTAAATAATAGTTCAAGGAAAGGATTTCAAAGTTTAGAAAGAGAGTATGGGAGATGGAGACAGGAAAGCACATTCTCTTCTTACTCAGTTCCTTTACTCTCTCTCTGTCCCTGTTTTCAGTTTTATTTTCACTTTTTAAAATTCATCCTTCTCTTCCCTCCTGTCATCTTTATATATTTCTTTCAATTATCTTTACTTTCCTTGTCCTACTTTCACTAGTAGTCATTTCCCTCCTTGTTCTTTATGTCTCTGGGCTTTATTTCCATCTTACCCTTTATATTTTTCATTTCACCCCCTCTGGCTTTCCTCCTTTCTCTACATGATGCTTCATTCTTGTCTATAGAAATTAGCCACATGGTTGTTTGCTTCAAGGATGCTTGGAAAGCTTCTGGAATTCTACCAGGAAATATTCCATCAGTTGAGAGTTGCTCACCATCACACAAAAATGTCCCTTTACTCACCTGGACTTTAATGGGCTCCATCCAGTGCTCCAGAGTGTCAGCAGTGATGTTCTCTGGCAGCATCACAGGATCGCTAGGGGGGATTACACAGGATGGGGAACATACTGCACCTGAAGAAGCAGAAATTTACAGCAGAAACTTGGGCTTCCAGATCACAGTCTTTTTCATCTTGTAATCAACAGCTTTGATTTTTCTAATAACAATTGAATTCTGTATTATGAATCATCATATTATGATAGTTGTAGGCAGGGTTAATATTCTTCTACTAGCTATAGTGATAATTTTACACAAATTGGTTAAGAGGCACCACCACAAGCTAACTTCTTGCCCAAAGCACTCTCTCCTCTGAGATCTCTGAGACTCTGTATGATTAACTAAGAGATTAACTTTTGGTTCAGCAGACCTCTAAGTCCCACTCCAGAACTCTGGCTAGCCAAACTCTATGGTAATTACTGATGCTTTAAATATATTTAATATCATACCTGCTTATATGGTCTCCTGGTAGCCTATAATTGCAGTGTCTACTACCTAATAACTCAAATGGCTGGGGAAAATGGCCCAGCAATTATGAAATTACTCCAGTGAATATCCTGTCTGTTGCTACACTGAATATCATTATATTGTCAGCCAGGAAACTTACATGATTAAGGGAGGAAGCAATAGAAAAATCAGTATTTTGGCTGAGTGTTGGTCTCTCTAAGGAAAATATTGCTCTGTTTCCCTGCATGTGGAGGTCCAAGTGTCTCCTAAAATTCTACTTATAGAAAACATACTCTGAAAGTTCACTGTTTCCTCATCTATAAATTTGATGATCTACAAGTTTCTTTTGAGCTCTCACTGTCTGTATTTCTGTTTTTAAGCAACTTTTATAATGATAAAAAATTACATCCTTTCTTAGGACTCTAGATATGTAAGTATATAATATTTTAATGCAGAAATTGAAGGTTTTAAGGATGAGAATCTGTTCATGAAACACCATTCAAAAGACATGAAGATCTCCCTGATATTCTAGACCTGAACACAAGACATCACAGTGCGAGGAGTACCTTGAACATGATCAAGAATCATTTCATAAATGAATCAGGTTTTTAATTAACACAAGTTATATTTATTGGTATTACACAAGATAAAAATGTCCTGTAAAATTACTCCTTGCCTATGCAACTCAGAAATCAGGGAGAATCTTATAAGCTTTCTTTCATGCAGATTTCAACTATTTTCTGATACTGAGGACTAGACTGGGCAAAGTTAGATTAGCATCACTATAAGTCAGCTCTAGCCACAAAGACCTTTAATTGAAATTACTTGAATAAGAAATTGCCCACTGGCTCTGAAGCCTAGTCCACTGTAGAGAAAGAATGGCTGAAGAGCAACACAAGCAACTGCAATCTCAAATTGTACCTCTCAGGAACTCTTTCTTAGAGCAAAGAGTAATACATGAGAGCAAAGGCACACATGTGAATGTGGCTACACATTCCTACCTTTCATCTTGGAGCTACAATTCTTGCCATAAATCCATCCACTCTTAGCCCTGGAGCAAAGTAGGTAATATGACCAGATGGGTTAGGAGCCACAGCAATATTGTACATAAGCAAAAGGGTGAAAATCAACAAATTTGCCACAAATTTCATTGTTACTAAAGCAGCTAAGAGTCATAGAGCATTTGATTCATGATCTACTCAGACCTAATAAAAGGATAACTTGGGAACAGATTTCACCACCCCTTCCCATCCTTACCAATTCCATATCCCTGTTCACACTTGTACTCCACAAATTCAGCTCTGAGGCGGGTGGTGGGCATTCGCCTTGCAAATTCTCACACAACTTGAACTCCCGGGTCCACAGTCCCTCTTTAGTGCAGAGGATGGGAAGCTAAAATATCAAAGGTAAAGAACATCTCCATTATTGTTTTGTTAACTCATTATGAGGAAATTGAACTAAAAGACTTTATTGAAACAATAAACAGTGTTGAGAATAGCAAAAACAGGTTAGGAACAGAAAGAGAGGGAGAGGGAGGGAAGGAGAGAAAGAGAGAGACTAAGAGAATTCCTTGCTATCTCCATGTGAAGGAATCATGAACAATTTTGCCATTATCAACACAATGCATTTTCCTTTAGCTACAAGGATATGATGAGCTATTGGCCATAGTCAAATTATTCTGAGCTGTTTTCTGAAAATTTTCCCAGATGGTATTGTTTTGCACTGATTCATACATACTATCACACAAATTCTGCCTGTGGCAAATGTCACATTTTACTTCAAGATGAGTTTCATCCAGTGAAACCAAGTAATAATTCTCTTAAATTTGTGTTTTTGTCTTTCTACTGGAAAGATTACACTGTAGTTGCTTTTGGTCTCATCAAAGGTTGATTCCCTTTCTCCACATATCTGCTAGCTTGTGTAACTCTTGGCTTCACACCCCCAGTAATCACAAAGTACGGTCTATCTGGAATACAAAGGGTTATAGTAACTAACAAACTAAGAAAATAAGATTTTGAAATGTAAATAGTGCACCCATCATCTGTCCACCTCCTTGGTCCTTAAGCAATTGGTGCAAATAGATGTGTTTGACATCTTAGGGTCTCATTTTATGCATCTGTTCTGCAGTGCTTACCTTGAAATGCTGGGCACTAAGCTAATGATGTGTCAAGGGAGCAGACGAGGTCATTGATCTTTGCCTAGGAAGTCTACTTGACTTCCTGGTCTTACGTATGTGTGTGGTACTCAAAAATATTCTAAAACAAAATTTATTTTAGTCACACAACCATGATAAGACTGTGGTTTCATTTGGGACTTGTGCCAAAATCTAGGCAGGATAATAGTTAAAATGTACTTTCAACTTTGTGAGGAAATCATGTTTCTGTTCAGGACTCTGTTTTACTAAAAAAAATTATAAAACTAGCATTCTTAGCCAAGTTAGGTCGTGGCCATGCATGAGAGGAGACTGCATTGCCAAAACAGGATCCCAGAATTATCTAAAATGTACCCAGGTACACTACCAATCAGGTTCTTCTTCTTACTCCAGAGAAAGTTCTGAACTTGAGAGAGAATTTTCCAAAAAACATGGCATCTTCTGAATTTCCTATCAAATAATATCAATGGCCCTGTTTAGAATCCCAACTGAGTTAAGACCTTGGCTGTTGGGATTCTTTCAGATCATTTCTACTCAAAATTCTTCACAGGCCCATGAAGATCAGAGCATAGACTGATTCAAAACAAAGTTCAAGGAGTTTTCCTTACCCTTTCACTTTCCTGGTTACAGTTGAGCACACACTGGCTGTCCAGCTTGAAGCCATTGGTACATTCATACATGCCTTCAAAAACAGGAGAAGGAGGCTCACACACCACTGGTATGCAACTGCCTTGCTCCCAAATTCCACCTTCTAGGCACTGTATCTTCAAAAACTTGCTGATAAACATAAAACAAAATAACCCATCAAAGAGGACTAGATTATCAGCAGTATGTGACAAGGGTAGGCAAACAGACAGGGGAAAATGGTTCTTGTTAGTCAGTGGTCCTGTCACCCCAGTCCAATATTAAATTACGAAACAAAAATTAGTAATATTTACTTATTTGCTGTAGTGATAGTAGGCAATGTAAATATGATGTATACTCAAGAGATTTTGATGAATAGTACATCTTGATTATTTATAGCTAAGTTTTCTTTGAGATTCTTAGATACTTGTCACCTATAAGTACACTAGAAAATGCCAGGTAGCATGAGGTACAGAAAGATGTCACACACACTCAGGAAACTAACCTGATGTGATTTGAGGATCATCAGTGTTACTATGACAATAGAATTGATGAAGTTGCTAATATTTATTGCTCCTTCAGAGAGAAGAGAACACACAGCAGTGTGAGTATTATTTTAAAACAGAATCCCAATCTAACTTTCAGAATGACAACAACCTCCCTGAATTTACTGCAATTGTTTTGTTTGTTTATAAGTTCAATTTTCCTTGGAAAAGGTTCATATCTTTCAGCAGATCCTAAAGCAGATATGAGTCAATACTTTCCTGAAAGAATGGCTCTTCCTTCTCATGCACATTCATGGCCTCCAACCAAAGATACTGTTTAAGGTAGATGGGAGTCAAAATAAGTAGAATTCTTGTTACTGCAAATTCCATTCCATTCTCCTTCTGACTCACTGCAATTTAAAGGCACTTTCCAGTTTTGCTGTTTTAATATATACACTTCAGAACACTCATGGTTACAGATAAACATGTGACTTTAAAATATAAATATTCCTTTACCATTGACTCTCTCAACCATATGGCATCCTTAATTCACCATTTTCTTTTGCTATGATGCCCTTTTAAAACTGAGATGTAGTCATCCATATATGCTTTTAACTGACAATTGTACAATGTCTCTTTGTGCCTGTCCAGTACTCTAACATTGTACTCACATAACATTTATCACATTGTCCTATAAATGTGCACATCAGTCTTTCCTACTAGACGGGAAGTTTCCAGAAGCCAGATGCTGTATCTTATTCTATTCTTGTTTTTAACCCTCAGGAACTAAAAAAATATCTGGCTTATATTAGGCATTAGACATATTTGCCCTATTGAATCATCAGACTGAAATTAATGGCATAGGTACGTTACAAGGCATATTATACAACAAACAAACTGATTCATCATAATATTCTTACAATAAAATCATAGTTTCATCCCCACTTTCTAGATAAAGAAACAAACTGAGAAGAGATGTTAAGTTCCTTTTCCAAGATCTGACATCAGAGAATACATCTGATTTCAAATAATTTTTGACAAAATATTTTCATAGTTTGACATACTTTATTAATATCTACTTAGAAATAAGTAGAGCATTTATTTACTATTAAACAATTTTTTAGAGCTGTACCTTTATTTTTAGGAATATTTTAGGATAGAAATATGACTTATGACTGTGGTCCTTTGGCATCATAGCCAATGTTGACATGTATCTACTCTCAGTTAAAAGCAAATACCATTTTTGAGCTATATTTCAAATATTTAGAGAAAAGACTATGCATAATTGAATCATTTAAACAACACTTAAAGTTAAATATTATTATCCACATTTTAGAGAAGGAAACTGATCCTGAGAGATATTTAAAGCCTGCTCAAAGATTAGAGTAAAACCCATAAGCAGGATGGGGACCTGTGCTTGCTGGTGGCAAAGCCAATAGTCCTTCTTCTGTGTCAGATATTGCTGTTCCTGTGATGTTCTACAGTTCACTCTCATTACGACAGCATCTCTATCCTACTGAACACCCAGAAGGCTTTTCCCCTAATGCCACACCTATAAGTATTGCAGACAAAAAGATTCATTTAAAAAGTTTGAACCTAATAGTAAATTACACATATTTTTGTTTATTTGAGATAGCTATAGAGGGTTATTCATTGTGACATTTCCATGTATATATGTATTACAACTCAAATTGGTTCATCCCCTCTATTTTTCTCCTTTCTACCTTGTCCCCTTCTTATGGTGACTTCAACAGGTTTAGAAATTCTGTATTCATTTTTGTATAGAAAGTACATCAACCATTACTTCTTTTACCCTCTCTTTTTCTATTAGTGACCTTCCCTTAATGTGAACTATTTTTCATAATATTTCTTTTATTTTGTATTAGGTTTGTATTTCCCATATGAGAGAAAATATGTGGCTTCCAAAATATTATGTACTCATGTATATAAATAGAAAAATGACACCTGTTTAATTTACCATTCCAGGAATGGAGGGAAGGGAAATAAAGGAATTTGATGGGGGTGGGGTGAATTCAACTATGATATATTGTAACAACTTTTGTGAATGTCACAATGTACCCCCAACAACAGTAAAAATAAATAAATAACACATAGAAAAAATACCTTATTATATGGCTTGAAGAAAATTTACAGGTGAATATATCTTGGTAATATTGCTTATCTCAAGATACAGAACATTTTCAGCCCCTCAGTATTCCTATTTTGTTCCTTCCCAGTAAAATCCCCCCTATTCCCACAACAGACAGTATTATAAAATGTGCACTTTGACAGTATAGGTTAGTTTTGCTTATTGAACTTAATACATAAAGAATACCTAAATGAAATAGCATGTTATGTATTCTTTAGTATATGGTTTCTGTCACTCAAGGAAGATGCCATTTAAAAATGTCTTCCCAAATCTGTTTCCAGTGAAGACTCTGCAATTCCTTTTTGAGTATGAGGCTCCCTTTTGTTCCTCTCCCAAACTGAATATTTGACTCTTCCTTCACACTAGAGCTTAAATCCTCCCAGGGACTCTCTCTTTTCTCCCACCTCCCACAGATGAAATCCTTCCTCTACCTCTGCTGAATTGACATCCCCCAGCTGAAGAGAACAGGCAATACCACTGACACCACAGGAGAGGCAAGGCTATAAAAACCTTGCATGTCAGCATGGTTATAAAGGAAAACCCTTGCTTAGCCAGGACGATAATATTTTTACTTCATGTGGTATTTTTCTCTGAATTGGTTGGAACACTTCAACCATGGAAATAGTCCTCCCTTTCCTTGCCCAGAGTGAGGAACAATTCAAGAATGCCAATTTCATGTATTTCCTTGCCAGTTTAATAACCTCAGGGGTGAGGGTAGACAGATCAAACTTGGATGGAGAAGAGTGAGTTTGGGTGGTACCCAAACAAAGTGACAGGCCCTTCAGTACAAGCCACCAGTAACACAAGGAGGGAGACTGCTACATGGTAGCAAGAGAAATAGCACAATTCATACTAAGGTTCCCGGACCAAAGAGGAGGCACCTAGGCAGGAGTGAGGAGAGGCTGGGCAGCATTCTAGTTTCCCAGGTGTTCCTGTTTTCTTTCAACAGGAGATCCTATGACCCTCTCAATCTTACAAATTCTCCTTCCTCATAGTCTCTTCTCCTACTAGAAAAGATGGTCTTGTATAGCCATGATTCTAATGACCTTGCAGAGTCTCTGTTTCTCCATATCAGATGATGCCTCTTAGATCCTGACCTCAGACTGCTTCCAAAGCACTTGACTGGTTTCTCATGGCCAACAGTGAGGTCTGTTTCAATATACTTGATGTCCATATCTCTAGATCCTCACTTATGGCATGAGTCTTAAGATCCATGGAATGGAACTTAGCCCTTGAATGCCATGGGCTCCTTCTGGCCGTTGTGTTCAAATAAGGACTATGGTTATGTCAGGAAATTAGAGGGTTCTGGGTTATTCCAAATTCCAGGAAATGTTTTTCCCTGATAGGCCCCTGAAGGGGACTGAAGCCTAAATCATATCACTTATCCTGCTTATTTTAGTTAAATAGTACTGTGGACTGAATATTGTGCCAATTACCCCACTCCCCTACTCGTGTGGTAACATCCAAATCCCCAGTGTGATGGGAGAAGGTAAGGTCTTCAGGAGGTAATCAAGTCATGGGGCAGGAAGAACCTTTTGATGGGACTAGTGCCTTAGGAAACTCAAAAGCTTGCCTGATCTGCATTCTCCCACGTGAGAACACAGCAAAAAGATGAACATCTGAAACTCAAGAAGAGTACCCTGAGCTGAGTGATTTTCGGCTTTTCAACCTCTAGAACTGTAAGAAATAATTGCTTGATGTTTAAGCCACCTAGTTTATGGATTTCTATTATAGCAGCTCAACAGACCAAGATGCAGCAATGATATGATTATGCTCTCCAGGGGTGCTTCAACTGACTCTGCATATCTCCTACTTTTGTGACGTTGAGGACTGACCTTTATGACCATTGGTGAAAAAATGAGTGTATTCACAATGATCCAACTCTTTCACATTAATGTGTACAAATCAAGAGGCAAGAAACGCTTTGAAGTTATGAAGTGAATGGCTTTGCATGTCAAAGAATGATGGCAATGGATGGTAGACTAATGCATACACACAGGACAGAGATTCCAAGACTTCTTTGATAGCCCATTCCAAGAACCTTTCACATAACACAAACTACTCAATATCTATTCACTCACACATTTTCTTCATCCCAGTATAGTAAGGGAATCTAAAATATCATATTTTAGAGGCAGAAAATTACACATTAATAACCAAGTAGGTGACTTTCCCAATGTCATACAATAATCTATTCATTGGTGAAAACAAGAATAGATTTCAAAGTTTTCAATTTATAAAGTAACACCCCAATCATCGTAGCAATGATTTCCAAATGCAATTTGAAGATCGGTCTCATCAGAATCATGCAGAAGCTATTTTGAAAACCTAGACTGTCAAGCTTACTGAATCAAGTCTGCTGGGGCTGATCTAGGACTCTGTATTTTCTTTTCTTTATCTTTTTATTTTTTATATTATTATTACTTTTTGTGGTGCTAGAATCAAACCCAAGTCCTTGCATACACTAAGCAATTGCTCTATCACTGAGCTACAACTCATCTAGACTCCTTATGTTTAAA